TAGTCTAAATGGGATAGAGGTAAATAGTGACTTAAATACAACCTTGGGACAACAGTGTGGATCGAGATGTAAGGGGAAAAATGTTTATGTGTTTAACTGTCTTGTGGATGGATATTAGATTCTCCTGCCTTCTACTGTAAATAGACATTTATGTGTAATAAAAATGAATATTGGGAATTGTGATAACAGAAGCTTGTAAGCCCACCTTCAGTCTATAACTGATTGCATTTGCTAAAAGAGGAACTAGAATTTGCCCAGGGAAATAGTCTTTTTGTTAAGCCTTATAAGTGGAATCCTGAGCCCTACCCAGAACCTTCTGAGTTGGGTCATTCCCACTTGAAAAAACATTCAGATCAACCCAGAATTTCTGTGAGAAACGAAGATTCTTATTGAATCTGCAAAAAAAAAAAAACGCAGACTGTTTGTTTTAATTTCAAGCAAGCTGTGTGCTTTGGAGGCACCACGGAAAGAGAAGTCAGACCATCACATAAAACCCCCTTCTAGGACTGAAGGTTAAAAGGAAGCTGCGAGCAGTCTAATATGTTTGTTGGTGACTGCCTGGGTCTACTTGTGAATAGACGTGAGGGAAATGCATTAATGAAGACATGGGTGGGGTCTGACCATGTTCCATTGGTACTGTTGACCTTGAGATCAGAGAGAAAAGAGGAAGATTAGAGGGAGAAGAGGAAGGGCCGGCTGGTCTGAAATTTAGGAAGATGTGTGCACTCCTGAGCCCCTGAAAACTGGCCTAGCCTCTGGGGGCTAGGGCAGAGAGTGAATTGGCCAGGTGGTCTGAAGTGCAGGGAGGTGTGTGTGAACTCCCGAACTTGCAGCTGGTACCCACTTTGACCTAGCTTGGATGGCTGGTTGACCAGAACTCGACCAGCAGAAGATAAAGACATTTGACAATGGAGAACAAGTGCAAATTGCTCCAATTTGATGAACTAGACTTTTGCTTATGAATGCAGTGACTCAAAATTCCAACTGGAATGGAAGGATTCTTCATATTAAGGAACAACCTTCTTTCCTCAGTGTATTGGGTTGATGGTGGTAGTGGTTATGTCCCATGGAGTCGGTTCTGACTCATAGTGACCCTGTACAGGGTTTCTGAGGTTGTAAATCTTTATGGGAGCAGAAAGCCTCATCTTTCTCCTGCAGAACAGCTG